CAGGGAGCACCCCATTGGAGACAAGAGCTTCCAAAGCTACATCAGGCAGCAGTCTGAGACCTCCACCCATTCCATTTGAAGCAGGATGTCCTGTCCCAGGACGGTGCCCTGAGCTGCAGCAGGAAAGCCGCGGTCTTCGGGAAGGAGGGAACAGAGAAAGGACAATGGGGCAGGGCATCCACACTTCTGCAGCTCACCTGTGACCGGCGCCAGGCTCACGGGACCTCTGAGGCTCTCCCCGGGCCGTGTCTGTGGTTGCTGGTGCACTGTGTCCACACTGGTGGCCGGCGACCTGAGCTGGCCTCTCTGGAAGGAGGGGCCAGGGACGCCGTGCTTTCTGCAGAGCTTGGGCTTCTGAGTCCTGTGCACTTTTGCTGGGCTCTGGTGCCCGCTCCGTGGAGCCCTGCAGCTCCCTCCTTTCACACACTCTGCTTCAGCAAGACCAGGACGCTGAGCGCATCGTCTCCTGTGAGCCTGCCTGCCGGCGGCCGCGCCCACGGGCCTTCTGGGTCCAGCCCTGACGTTGGTAGTATTCCTGGAGGTCAGTTTTGTGGCTTCGTTGTGTATCACTGCACGAAGATCCCAGTGTGAGGATGCTCTTGATGATTTGCAGGTATGGGGTCCTTCTGCACAGAGTACCTGCGGGGAGGAGGTTCCAGTCTGCTCTCGCAGACATGGGTGTCCCAGTCCTGTGGGCTGCAGACGCTGGCAGAGCCGGCGACGGGCCGAGCTTGTGTCCAGCCCATCCCCCTTCAAGCAAAAGTTGTTGCTGTTTTGCTGTCAGTGGAACTTCAAAGTAGAATCCACATTAGCCGCCCCTTCTGGAAGTTTGAGGAAGGTTTTTAAAATAGAAATGTGCATTATTTTCAAGCTGTTTTTCTTAACGTTTTTAAGGGGCCGTTTCTAATGAGCTCCTTGATATAAAGTACCTCGGAACATCTAGGCCTGTACTCGTCAAAGGGGAGGGTGCACAGCAAAGCAACGAAGGGAATGAGCTGCTTCTCTTGGAAGCCAGTGGAAGGCCCTCCAGAGCTCACCAAGGGACGCGAAGCCCTGAGCCGTGCAGACCCTGCAGCCCCCAGGAGCAGGGCTTTGCTGGGTCTCTGTGAAGCCCCTAGAAGCTGCCAGGCAGTGGTGGGTGCTTTTCTGTTGGGGTGGGGGTCCTGACATGGGGCAGTCAGCCTCCGAGCTTTGGAGAGCACTGTTCAAACATGCAGACCTTGTGCCCATCCCTGCTTTTATCTGCAAATACCGTCCTTCGGACTCTGAACCTTGGCAGATAGTAACATCACTTGTCACCAAGACGGTGGAGGGAAACGTTGCAAAAAATAAACTTTGGGACACACGACTATTAGGCTGTACCAAACTGCCATTTTTAACATGGATTTGTAACTTAATGTTTCTAAGATACTAATGATTTGCAATGTATTTTACTGGCCAATTAAAACAGATGTTTTATTCTTTCTGAGGACTGGTTTGATAATGGTGCATGTGGGAGATGGGTGCGTGGCGGAGCGGGGCATGTGGAGGCTGGATGACATGCTTGAGTGGCAGGAGAGGTTCAGCTGTGGGCCTTTGGAGCAAGCTGGAAACCATAGTGCTCTGTGGGATGGAAAGATGTGGGGTCGGGCACTCTGAGTGCGTCCGAGCGTGTTCTGCTGGGAACCTCCAGTGAGGATGGAGACGGGCATTGGCCCAGGGAGGGGAAGAAGGGCCCCAGCACGTGCTACTGTCTCCGAGACACAGTGGGCCTCGAGCTCCAGGACCAGTCACAGGCATCCGAGGGGGAGCAGCAAGAAAGGCTGTGGAGAGGCAGAAGTGCTGCTGAGGGCCCTGTCCCACCTGGACGGGTGGAGGGAAGGGGCTGCATGCATGGTGGGTGGCCTGGAGGAGACCTGCCGCCAGGGCAAGGACACATCGTTTCCCTATTCCTTTTTTCCATGTGGTTTTCACTCCGTTGCTGTTTTAATTCCAGCCTGATTCAGCTGTTAGGAAAGAATCAGGTGGTCTGGCTTTGGGGACACTAGGTTGGACTCGGGGTGGGGGGGGTCAGCCCCTGCCTGGGGGCATGGACTCAGGGAGAAAGGTGCCATTGCTGCTTCCATCCGGCCCCTCCCGGCAGCGGGATAGCACTAGGGCTGGGTGGGGGCTGAGGGGTGCAGAGGGGGAGTCCCTGCCCACGAGGGCCCCAGGTCAGAGGCCACAGCATCAGTCAGCCAGGACGTGAGTGTCCACAGCAGGGCTTCGGGCGGCTCCAGGGAGTCTGGCTGACTCAGACACTTGTGGGACCCAGGGAAGTTCTGCCCCCGTGGGAGGACAGAAAGGAGAAAACCTCGAGGAACGTGGAACCAGATGCCCCTCTCCCAGGACCCCTCTGACAGGTCACAGTGGCTCTCGGGGCCTCAGTCTGTGTCCACCTGCTCTTCTCCAGACAGCCTAAGCGTCCTACCATCCTGGCCTTAGTCCTTTGGCCTCTCCCAGACCAGCAGCTGTGCACACGGGTACCTGGGCACCACGTCAGCGGCCGCACCAGCCCCTTGGCTGGGTGACCAGAGCCTTCCGGCATGCGGAGATGCTGTGAAGTGTTTTGGGGGGATAGATGTGCATGTGGAATTAGGGAGTCTCTTCTGCTTTGTTCTGAGTATTTATGATCTGCCAGTTGCTCAGGGAAAACCCCTACTATGATCTGTCTCCCATGGCCTTGGTTGTTTGGAGATTAAAAACGTATTCTGCGGGGATGCAGAGAAAGGGGAACCCTCCTGCACTGTTAGTGGGAATGCAAGCTGGTGCAGCCACTCTGGAAAACCGTATGGAGGTTCCTCAAAAAGTTGAAAATAGAGCTACCATATGATCCAGCAATTGCACTCCTGGGTATTTACCCCAAAGATACAAAAGTAAGGATCCGAAGGGGTACATGCACCCCGATGTTTAGAGCAGCAATGTCCACAATAGCCAAACTGTGGAAAGAGCCAAGATGTCCATCAACAGATGAATGGATAAAGAAGAGGTGGTATATATATACAATGGAATATTATGCAGCCATCAAAAGGAATGAGATCTTGCCATTTGCAACAACGTGGATGGAACTGCAGGGTATTATGTTGAGTGAAATAAGTCAAACAGAGAAAGGCATGTATCATATGACCTCACTGATATGAGGAATTCTTAATCTCAGGAAACAAACTGAGGGTTGCTGGAGTGGGGGGTGGGGTGGGAGGGATGGGGTGACTGGGTGATAGACACTGGGGAGGGTGTGTGCTCTGGTAAGCGCTGTGAATTGTGCAAGACTGTTGAATCTCAGATCTGTACCTCTGAAACAAATAATGCAATATATGTTAAGAAAAAAAAGAAGAAGAAGGAGGTAGCGGGAGGGGAAGAATGAAGCGGGGGAAATCGGAGGGGTAGACGAACCATGAGAGACGATGGACTCTGAAAAACAAACTGAGGGTTCTAGAGGGGAGGGGGGTGGGAGGATGGGTTAGCCTGGTGATGGGTATTGAGGAGGGCATGTTCTGCATGGAGCACTGGGTGTTATGCACAAACAATGAATCATGGAACACTACATCTAAAACTAATGATGCAATGTATGGGGATAATATAAGAATAAAAAAAACGTATTCTGGGATGCTACCAGACATTTTCTGTTAAGTTGTATTATGGGCTGAATTGTGCCCCCCAAATACTCATGGTGAAGTCCTGACCCCAGCACCTCAGACTGTGGCTGTATTTGGAGACAGGATCTTTAAAGAGGTAATTAAGGTCATATAGGTCACATAAAGTCATTGGGGTGGGCCCTAATCCCATATGACTGGTGTCCTTCTGAGATTAGGACACAGCCAACAGACACATGAAAAGATGCTCAGCATCACTCATTATCAGGAAAATACCAGTCAAAACCATAGTGAGATATCACCTCACACCTGTCAGAATGGCTAAAATCAATAACACAAGAGACAACAGGTGTTGGTGAGGATGCGGGGAAAGGGGAACCCAAATCTTGCAGTGTTGGGGGGATGCAAACTCTGGAAAACAGTATGGAGTTTCATCACAAGGCTAAAAATAGAGCTACCCTACCCCACGCCCAGCAATTGCACTACTGGGTGTTTGCCCCAAAGGATACAAAAACACTGATTCAAAGGGATACGTGCCCCCCTGGGTTTATACGAGCAGCCAGGATGCGGAAGCAGCCCGAGTGTCCATCGACAGATGAAGGGATAAAGACGATGTGGCGTGTACACACGATGGAGCATTACTGAGGCGTCAGATCAGATTGTGTCACTTGTGACAACAGGGTTGGACCCAGAGGGTATCATGCCAAGTGAACTAAATCAGACTGATAAAGGCAAATGACCATGTGAGTCCACTGACAAGTGGACTATAAACAACAAACAAATGAATAAACAGAAAGCAGAATCAGAGCCATAAACACAGAGAATCAACGGGGCGCGCGGAGGGCAGGGAGGTCCGGGGCTCCGGGTGTGGACGGACGCGGTCACAGGGTGAGACGGTGCCGTCAGGGAGGGCGCGGCCAGGTGACAGGCGGCTGCACTTGAGGTGAGCACAGCACCCTGTAGAGAGTTGAGACACTATGTTGTCCCCGAAACTAATGTCACTAGACTCAGAAGAAGACCCGAACAAACAGAAGATCAGGACAGGGACATGCAGAGGGTCGACCGTGGGAGGACGGGAGGAGGCACGCGCTGGCGGAGCGGCTCCCGGAGAGACCAGTCCTGGCGGCGCCCGCGTCTATGTCGGCCTGGCCGCCCGCCGGCGGCGGGGAGCCAGCGTCCGAGTCTCCGTGGTGGTGCCTCGTGTCGGCCGCGCTCGCCAGCTGGCAGCTCGCAGCTGCCCGTCCACCCCCGACACCACACGCAGCCTCCCCGCTTGGTCGCCCGGACGAATGCCCGTGACCCCACCACTGCCGCTCCCGAGCCCTGGGCCGTTTGCCCGAGTTTGGTCCGTGGTGGCGTCCCTAAGAGGAAAAGAAAGATTCTCAAAACGAGGAAATCGTCCAAAGGCTTGAGGCCGACCCCACAGCAGAAGTGCTCAGCATCCACACTGCCTGGGCGAGGGCTGATGAAGGCCTCGGAGGGAGGGCAGCCTCGGGAAGGGCTGCGCCGGGCTGACTTCTGACCTCTGACTGCACAGTGATGTCACAGGGGCCACTTGGCAACGGGGGCCCCCTGGCCACACTGGGCTGCTCGTCGGACAGAGTTGGAAGCCATGCGCTCCATCTGAGGGTGCGCTTGGGAGCCTGCGTCCCTCTTCTTTCCTGAAACCTGGCGGAGGGGAGGAGGATGGAGAAGGACGCGGCCACACACCGGAGGCGCCGGCTGGGCCCCGGGGCCCCTCCATCAGGGGTTGCCCCCATACACCCCAAGGCAGGCAGCGAGGTGGCCGAGCTCCAGAGGAGCAGGAGTGTGGGCGGCCTGCATCAGAAGGGGGACCCTCCGAGCTGCCTCAAGAAGCTGTCCAAGTTGCCGGGTAGGCCCCCAGCGGCGTCCCTCCCGCCAGCCCGGCCCCCTTGCCCCTGCGGAGAATCCTAAGGGCCGGGCAGAGCATGCTAGACCCGGGGTCTGCCGGTGGCCGAACCAGGGGCTGGGACCCACTGAGGCGGCCACGGGAAGCTGTGCTGAGGTCGGGAGTGGGGCGAGGTGGGTTGTGCATCCAGAAGGCCGTGGCCACGTGGAACGTCTCTGGTCGGTCCCGCTCAGGGAACCTGCCAGGCAGGGCCAGCAGTGAGCCCATGGGGGTAACGGACAAGGGATACGGGCCCGCTAACTTACACGTGGCGGTGCTTGCCACCTAAGCTCTCCCTAAACGCTCTGCCATGGGGGCCGGGCAGAACACCTAGTCCTTGTGTGAACCGTGAGGTTCTCCCCCCGGGCTCCCCAGCTCCTCTCCCCGGGGGGAGTTGGCTGAGAGATGAAGGTGACTGGTTCAGTCATTTGCTGGGCCCTCCGAGGTTCTGGCTCTGCTGGGAAGGCCACCCAGCTAGTGGCCCTTTACGAGGATGTTGGGACGCCGCGGAACTGAAACACAGTAAGTGGGAAATGGGGTTTGCTGTTCCAGCCCGAGGGGCGAATATCTGCTCTCTCGGTGTAAAAATCTCAGGAGGGGAGGAGGAGCAGGTGCTCACCGCTGGCTGGCGGCTGGGGCTGCTGCGAGGCTCTCCCACCACCTCCGTCCCGTGAACCCTCTGAGCAGGGCGACGCTTTCGCAGGCTCGCTGAAGAGGAGTGAAGCTTCCCAAAGAAGAGATCAAACTAAGTCTATGCAGGCAACATTGCAAATTGACCCACGGGCTGTCTGATAAGGCCGCCACGGGGCCGGCCACAGGAGAGGACAATCTCGCCCCCACCATTTCCCATACTCCCACCAGCACCGCTGGGTCTCCCCAAACAGTGTGAATGGCAGAGAGGCAGCCCCGTGGCACCCTGTCCTACCTCAGGTGACCTGGCAGCCCCACAGGACACCCCAGAGGGGTTCCACCTCCCGGAGACCACAGGGTGGCAAGCAGCAGGCTCACCAGCCGTGCACGGGGCAGGCTGCTCCAGGTCCCACTGTCCGCATGGCAAAACAGGACCAGAAGAGGGGGCCCTGCGGGTGTACACCAGCCGGGAGCAGGGGCGAGGAGGACACCGGAGCCCGGCTGCAAGCCCAGTGGGCGGGACGAGGGCCGGCTGGAGCACATCTGCAGCCTTGCTGTCCAGTCGGGCCTCAGGATGAGCCCAGTGTCAGAGGGAACAGCAGGAACCCAGCGGCTGTGTGCTAGGACCCTGGGTGGCCACGCATTGAGCCCACCTCCCCACCCTGGCCGCCTGCACAGGACGCCCCCGCGGGACCTGCCCGGGCTCACGCCGCTGTGTCCACAGTGCTGGCCTGGGACCCTGGCGCTCAGGCCCGTCTTGCCACCCCTCCTGTGCGAGGGCACCCTTGCCCGCAGCCAGCTCTCCGTCCACCGCTCGTGCATGCTCAAGGGGGGGGTGTGTCCAGAGAGGAGGTGGGTGGGACCTGCTGAAGCCTTCAGCTGTGTGGCCAAGGTGAAGGCAGTGTCGTCAGGCCCCTGAAGCACCCCCACCACAGAATCAAGGCCTGTTACGAAGAGGGTCTTGGTCACTGTCGCTCCCTGTCCCCAGCCAGCTCCGCACCACCGTCGACACAATTTCGGATACTTGACTAGCCCGACCCCCAGCCTGTGCCTGCAGGCCCGCCGCCACCCACTGGACCCCAGGAGGCGGTCTCACAGCCAAAACGTAATCTGTAAGCAGTTTGAAGATAGCCACATCTCGGCTGAGGAAGAGAGGCAGCAAAGGGAACCTTCTGGAGACCCCGCTGCTCTGTCCTCAGACCTCACTCAGCTCCGGAGTGGCACACGTCAGCCCCCAGCCCTCTGCCTGCTGCACGTTCGTCGGCTGAGCCTTCCAGACTAAGGGGTCACTCACTGCCCCGATATGCTCAGAGCCCTGATACACTCAGGCGCTCTCTTAGAAGAAGGAAAGGGGCGAGACCTGCAGACACTTAGTATTAATCTCCTTCCTCTATGACAGAAGATGTACTGGGGGGTCTACTTTGAGGAAAAGAAATCACGTCTCTCTTTTTACTGATTCTTCCTTCTTGCCAGATACACATTATAGGAAGAAGCAGGTTCAGGGATCAGCCCCGGGTCTTCTAAATACACGTACACGCATGCACATGAGTGCCTACAGGTGGGGGCCTGCTGAAGCTTTTCCAAAAGAAATCAATTCTAAAATCCCTGCTAGAAAACTACTGCATCTGAATCACTCAGGTCCTGTTCTCTGAGGTGGAGACTGAGCGGCTTCTCCGTGAGGGATGTCTCGAGAGCCATTAAGTTCTGAAACGCTCTGAGGACCAAAGGCTGCACCCCCCACCCCGAGCCCTGCTCCCTCAGATCCCTGCCCGTTGCCTTTAGGGCTTTGTCTCGGGTAGCCAGCAGCGGCCTCGGCGTCTCTGAGCCTGTGTGGGTGCATCCAACAAGAGAAGGACGGAGGACCCCTAGTTCTCACCCGTAGGCGACTCACACGAGTCAGAGAGAAGTGTCCGGACGACACGGCCAAGGCCACATGCCCTGAGCACCCAGGAGGCCTGGCTGAGATGACTCTCCCACCAAGGCAGGTCGCCTGGCATGGGGCAGGGGATCCCTGGCCCCAGGCCCAGGGCAGGATGTCATGGGAGAGCGCAAGGGCCAGCCACGCTGTTGGTCTCTGCCGAGAAGCAGGAGCTGTGTGCAGGCCGCCTCCCGGAGCCCAGCCATCACCGCCCCAGCCCACAGGTGTCCGCAGCTCTGAGACCTGTGAGCCGTCGGGATTCTGTGTGGAAATCCTCTGCGGTAACAGGGTGCTCGGAGGCTTCTCACCAGGCCTCCCGTCAGAAGGATGATTGAAGGCTTTGTCATTTCCCACCTGGCTGTACCGTGTCTGCATCCTGGGCCCGGGTGTGCGGGGCTGGAGGACGGGGGACCGAGCTGCTGGAGGGGAGGCGGCAGCTACCGGGAACCAGCCACCTCTACCATTCTGGGCTCAGATGCGGCCACCCAGAAATGGGACCTGGACTGTCCTCTCAGACTCAGCACCCGCAGGAAGGCCTGTCCGTCCTTGTAGGGCCAGGTTATGGGCCCCTCACTCCCCGAAGGGCTGGGCTGGGGTGCTGTCAGTCCTCACAGGGCCAGGCCACGGGCCCAGGGAGAGCTGATGGCAAATGCTGCTCCTTCCTCCCCAGAGTCCGAGGACCAGGGAAAGGACCTACAAGGTGACATTGAAGAAGCCAGCTGGTAGGTGGTCGTTGTCCAGGAGAGGTGGTTTTCAGACACAAGGATGACACAGGAGACAGTGGGGTGGGGAGCAGGCCCAGCCCCGAGGTCGACACTCGGACCCTGAAGGAACCCTGAGAAGAAAAGGTGTCCTGAGAAGACCCCAAGGGCTCAGGTGGGAGGGTATCTCAGGGCTGCGAGCCATCCCCGCCCCCCTCCTGCAGCCCCTGCAGCCCCTGCAGCTGGCCAAGGCCCAGACTCTTGGAGCAGGTGACTGTCCTAGGCAGACATTTGCACTCGACTCTCCAGACCGCTGGGCATGCCAGAGGTCTCATCTGTTGGGGAAGGTCTGGATGTGCACCATTGGTGGACAGGCCCCCGGCACCACCACATCGCCATAGAACCTTCCTCAAGTAGCACTGCCTAGTCCTTGATGCCCAGTGCTGGACACCTCTGCCTCGTCCTCCAGCCCACCCACCCTCACACCCCCAGGCAGGAGGAAGGGCTTCCACACCCTGTCCCACGCTGCTCCACAGGGGACGTCCCAGAACTTTCCCAACACCCAAGGGGAGAAAGGGCCAGCCCGAAGCCACATCTCCATGGCGCCCATCCTGATCCATCGCCCCGCTCCTCCTACAGTCAGGCAGACTCTGAGGAAGACAAGCAGGAGAAGAATCAGGACGCCCTCAGAAAGTTGGACCCAGATGGTGGAAGGACAGAACCAGAGGTGAAGAGGAGCCACCCAGAGGCCAGTGGCAAGAGTGGGAGGGCTGGCCGGACACATGTCCGCTGTCCTCAGGTCCTGCTGGTATTTACCTATTGGGTGTCCTCCCTAGGAACAAGGACCAGAGTCCATCAAGCTGGATGACCCTCCAGGAAAAGAGGCAAGAGCCTTTGACTTTCTTAACAGGAAGGCCTGCCAGGCACAGTCCTGTGGGACCACCAGCAGGCTGTGGACACGTGGTCCTGGGGTCCTCTTGGCAGGGCCATGCTGCAGGCTGGACCCAGTGCAACCTCGACCCAAGAGACTTTGGGCCCAGCCCTGTGCTCCTGGCTGATGCTGGGCATCCTAACCCCAGCTTTCCAAACAGCACAGTTGCCAAAGGCATATGGGACCTGACAGGTGGCTCAGAGACATGCCCCCTGCCCATGCCCTGGTGCACTGGCCAGAGACCCATCAGAGTGGTGGTAGGAATCCCCACTGGGCACTTTCTGAGGGAAGGAGGCTCTCATTTTCTTCCCAATTGTGGGAGGGAATGGAGAAGGAGCTGGACCTGTTTTATCAGGACCTACGACAGTCCCTGGTGGGATCCAGGGGTTCATCCCCAGACACATCTGGCATTCTGGGCCGGCCCAGGTGGGCGGCAGCCCCTGGAGCTGCCTGAGGCTTTTGTGCCTCAGTGGGAGTCCTCACCAGCACGGGGCAGAGTGGGTACCAGGAGGCTGGTGGGCAGTGTGCAGGTATGGGCAGCTCCGGGCATTGCCTTGTGACCCACAGCCCTGGTTCTCAAAGGGGGAAGCCAGGGGAGACCCCAGGATCTCAGGGACCTAAGGGGGTGAGTAGGAAGAGATGGGAGGCCATAGTCCTTCCCTTCTCTCTGCCAGCACTGGCCATGGACACCTTGCCATCCACACGGCCAGCACCTCTCTGCCCAGCTCCTCAGGAGCCCCCACTGAGCACAACCACTATCTTGTGGCCCCAGTGGTGGTCATGCAGACCCGGCTGCCCCAGGGCCCGGAGCCCAGTGCCCCTCCCAGGAAGCCTCCTCTACTCTCCAGCTCACCCTAGCCTGCCATCCATACGTCTTTGGTTTCCATTCACAGAAACCATCTGTGTTTGTGGAGATTGATCTGGGAGACCATGCCGAGGAGGTAAAAGCCCTCAGACGACAGAGCCAGACCACCTGCCAGGAATGCTGGTGCTCAGGGCCCACGAGGCTTGTCCAATGAACCTGTCCCACAAGAATGTATTGTAGGCTGAGGCCAAGGCGGGCCAGCAGTGCCAGGAGGACTCTGGGGTGCTGAGGCCTGGCCTGGGAATCTGAAAGCCACCCTTGCCTCCTTCTTATCCTCCAACCTGCACGCATCCTGGCATCATCAGAGGGTCCAGGGCCAGGGTCAACCCTCACGGTGCCCATAGGCCCTGAGAACCTCTTCTGGGATCACACTGGGGTGATACAAAGGGCATAGGCTTGGGAATTGGAGACCTGGCCTCCACATCTGGCTCTGCCAGTAAATACTCAAGTCACCATACCTCTCAGTGCCTCTGTTGTTTCATCCATACAATGGGGATCTTGGTAGTACCCACATTCCAGGGTTGTTCTGTAAAGCACTCAGATGGTGCCTATACCCAGAAAGCCTCAGTATCAGGTACAATCACCACCACCACCACCACCGTCAACATCACCAACATCACCACCAACATCACCACCATCAACATCACCACCATCACCACCACCACCACCATCAACATCACCAACATTAACATCACCACCATCATCACCATCACCACCAACAACACCATCACCTCATCACCATCATCATCATCATCATCATTCTCACAGTATCATCTTCTGTACAATGAAGGTGTTGACCAATGGCCTGTCTGGACCATCCAACACAAATGTCCTAGGGTGTCCTCCATTTCTCAGCTGTAGTGGGCAGCCATCTCTGGAAGTGTTTTGAAGTTCTATCTTGGAAATTTAAGCTCCTGCCTAGGGATTGTTCTTTTCCAGATTGCACCTCCTATCTCTTTGCACCCAAAACATGTGGTACAGTGAAGAATGCTGGCTACTAACCTTGCACAAGGCTATTTTAGGGGTACCACAGGTCTTAAGAACTCAAGGAGGGTCATCCAGTGACAGAGTTGGGATTACAGTCTGGAGGTCACAGTGACCCACATCAAGGGCACAATTTCTTGGTCAGGGTGCCCTAACTGGAAGTTTCTTTCCTTCCTTCCTTCCTTCCTTCCTTCCTTCCTTCCTTCCTTCCTTCCTTCCTTCCTTCCTTCCTTCCTTCCCTCCCTCCCTTCTTTCTTTTAGAGAGAGACACACACAGAATGAGAGAGAGCAGGGGAGGGGAGGGGCAGAGGGAGGGAGAGAGAGAGAATCTTAAGCAGGCTCTACACTCAGCATGTGAGCCCAGCGCAGGGCTTGATCTCACAATGCTGAGATCTTGACCTGAGCTGAAATCAAGAGTCAGACACTTAACTGACTGAGCCAGGTGCCCCCTCCCCCTCTTTGGAAATTTTCACTTGAGGGTGCCCCACCTTCTGGGAAGAGTCTCAGTGCCAGCACAGTCTCCATGCCTCCATCTGGTCCTTGGGCAGGTCTAGCAGGTCTGGCCTTGGTGGCTGTGGTTGATGGGTTGATTCAGCATGGTTCCCTGAACTGCTCCTGCCACTTTCCACAGGTGGTCACAGGTGCCATGCGAGAAGAGAAGCCGTCCCAGATGGACATGGGGGGTTTGTCAGAAGACGAGTGAGTGATGCGTGGCGGGGGGGGGGTTCTCCTCTACTGCGGTGTCCGGTGGGCCCACTGGGCCTCATGCTGAATGGGCAGAACTCCACTGCATGCACTCCTCCCTTCCCCGTGCGGGCAGACACCCAAGCACCGATGAGTCTGAAGGGGCTGAGAGGGGAGCGGTGGGACTTCGGGATGACCCTTACCTGGAGTCCTACTCACCACCCCCGCCAGACCCTTTCTCCCCATCCCATGAGCTGACAAATTGGCCAGAGAATGAGGCAGGAGAGGTGGGAGGAAGCAGAGAAGGAGAGAGGGAAGTGTTGCCATGTGGGTGGTTCCAGCTTCTCACTTTGGGGTTTCACCAGGAGGGAGGACCCATCACCGGCCAGAGCCTCTGCAAAGTGGGCCCCGGAGCTGGGGTGGGAGGCACATTTGCCCTGACTACCTACACCGTTTTATGGTGGAGACTGGGTAGGGCCAGCCAAGTTCCACGACATCCTCAGGCCATAAAGGGCGCTGGGAGCAGGTCGCTGTGTCACCCAAGGGCCCATGGATCTATTTTTATTTTAAGCAATATAGAGAAACACTAAGAAGAAAATAGCAATTTATCCAATTTTCCACTTCTCAGAATTAACTATATTAATATCTCGGCTTATTTGCTTAAACACTTTTTAAAAGAAAAATATCTCTAACAGATATTTAGATACAAAGTAAATTACTTTGTAAACCCGACACATGGTCCTTTTTAAATAACTGAAACACACAAGCCTTAGGTCCGCCAGGCCCCCTCTTAGCAACAGTGAGGATGGGGCAGGAGCACGTGGGCTCGGAGGCTGGACCTGGGACGCACACGACGCCCTCAGGAGAGGGGCTGGGGGTCTCCACAGGCACCATCTCCGCATCGCCCACTGCGAGCGCCTGCAGCTTTGGGGCCTCTGCTTACTTGGTGGTGTCATTAGAACCACCACCTTCCCCCAGACTTGTATGTACTGCGGGGGAGCTTCTGGGAGGACGGGTCACCCCTTGGCTCACACGGCCCCGCACTCCTGCCCATCTCTACTTACACAGGGGGTCTCCCCGGCTTTTGCTAAGATGCCGGCATTGTCCTGGCACACTTCCAGATCTAGGCTGAACGTAGGTGGGTCTTTCTTAAGCAGACCTTTATTTTTCTCATTGTTTCTTAACGGATGTGGCCATGGATTCAGCCACACTGGACGCAGCTTGGTGGCTTTGTTTTCTGCCCCAAGGGCCAGACAATCCCCAGTCCACCCACTTGGCCTCGTGGTCTCTGCCCCCCCGCCTGATGACTCTGCTGCCCCCAGAAAGCCTGTAAGCCAGGGCCAGCACACAGATCCAAGCCTTGGCTGCTGGAGGCTGGCTAGCCAGTGGGAAGGGGGCCTGTGGAGAGCCCGCCATGTGGGCCTGGCCTTCACGCCTGCTGGGCAGTATCAGGGTGACCTGTCTGTCCCGCTGCCCTGCTCACCTGCCATCTCCTTTTTCCTTAGAGCTGAGGCTTCTCCAGGCTCTCCCTCATCCTATTCAGATGGTGTGTTGGGGACCCATAGGCCAGCTGTCACTTATTGCCCAGTGGGATGCTTTGATATTGAGCTGTGGGGTCCCTGCAAAGGGAAGGGCGACAGCTGACTCGTCCCAGAGGCAGCTTTGGTTGGAAGTGGAGACCCCAGAAACCAGCCAGGAGGGAAAAGCACAGGCTGTGGTGTTCTGGAAATGAGCAGGGCTGGGTGTGGGGACAGCAGGAGACAGCCTGGCTTTGGGGCCAAGGGGAGCAGTTTGCTCAGCTGGTCTGGGAGGTCTTTCATGTTCAAGGGGCCCCTTCTTAGGCCTCCCAGCACAGAGCACAAAGGCACTGGGTGGGCTGGAGGAAGCTCAGGCAGCTGGTGGGAAGGCAAGCCCAGTTCTGCTCAGGAGTCTGACTGTGTGTGCAGGGCCCTGTCACCCTCCGATTGACAAACGCTGGGCCCCTGGGCTTGATGAGGGGGCACGCCTCTGGGGTGGAGGGGTGCCGCCTGTGGCCCTGGGCTCTGAGCCCGGGTGGGAGATGCCTGTCTCTCACCTGCTCTGCCCTCCTCTTGGCCTCTAGGACCAAGACCAGCTGGGTGTGCTGCATCCCTTATTCCACCAGAAGGAAGGTGAAGGAGAGTGTGTAGCGGCCTTGGAGAAGGTAGTTTGCACTGGGACTGGGCTGGAAGGCAAGGGGGCATCTGGAGGGAACAGGAAGCTGCTCTCCTGACTTCCCAGCCTCCTCAGTCCTGCAGTGACCTGGGAGGGAGGGACGGGGGGGTGGCGGGTGCAGACAAGCAGCCCTGAGAAACACCACTCAAACCATTTCAGGGCACTGATGACCACCCAGGTGTGAACCACTGATCCACTGGCTGAGGGACGATGCCATCTTTTAAAAAGACACAATAAAGTGTGAACGGAAGGTGTTCTCCTTCTCTGGTCTCTGTTGAGGGATCCCTATCTCTTCCTTCCATGCATCTCATTCCCTGAAATGTAACTGGGAGAAGGGAGGTGGGCTCAGTGACAGAAGGCTGAGCCTCCCAGGTCACATGAGCATGATGGCGGCCGTGATCACCCAGCCCTACCTTTCAGATCCTATGAACACCCAGAAACAAAGTCAGATCCCATGGGGCCCTGGAGAGGGCTCTACTCTCAGCGATGGCCCACAAACTTGGCCCCAAATGCACCTGGGGGGCCCCAGCCCCAGTGAGAGGAGCCCTTAGGGAGGCTGGGCGTGATCCCTGAGGCCCTGGGAGGTGAGTTTCGCCAGGAGTGGGCCACGCTTGCGGCTGCGTGCAGGAGGTCCCAGTCCCAGGGGGCTCACAGGGTCCTGCCTTGTGATCGAGGCTCGGGAGATGGTGCTTGCAGGGTATGGGTGCGGGAGCAGAGGGCCACACAAAGGGAGCCTTGACAAGGGGTTCGGAGTGTCTCTGTTCAGACAGCCGAGTCTCAGCAAACCACCCCAGGCCAATCTGTGGTCCAGCCGAAGACTGAGAACACAGCACACACACCCGTTCACTCTCATGCACACACATGCACACTCATGAACAAGCATACGTACACGCACACGTGTATATGCACGCATGGCGTACATTGTGCATGGATGAACACATCTACACAACATGCATGCACACATGTGTCCTTGCATGCATGTGGACACACACGTGCACGGGTAATGCCTGTGTGAGCACATACACTTGCCCACAAAGCACCGTGTGGGCAGCCGTGCCCACACACACACACACACACGCACCTACGGCACATGCAAGCGTGCAGGAGGACACGGGCCGGTGACAAGCAGCATCTCAGGGTGAGGAATGTCTGGGCCCAGAGGCCAGAAGAGTCAGACAGGTGAAACCCCCAAACAGCCGCCGTCCCTCTGCAACACTGTCCATCTGAGAACAGGGGGGTTCAGAGGCAGCTGGAAACTGTGGGCTGAGATCCAACCATGGAACCTGGCGTCCCTGGACAGGCATGTGGCCATGCTGTCATTGCATGACCAGATCACAGAAAAGGCCCCTCTGCTGAGTGCTCATAATATGCCAGGTGCTCAGAGGTGCTCTACACGGAGGTTGGGGCCCCTGCTTGTGCCCTGTCCCAGCCCCCAGACAGGCAGCCCCTGTCCCTGCCCGACCCCTAACTGCTGCTGCCTACTACCAAGGCATCCAGGAAGCTTCTGGAGGGACAGCTGGTCTGCCCTTTGGCCAGGACGGGAGGAGCAGAGCTCCATGCCTGGGTCCCGGGGCCCTCTCCACAGAGCAGCACTGGCCAGAGTGGCTTTGCTGGTTCCTCTATGCCCACGCTCAAACACAGGCCAGGAGGGTGACTGGGCCTGGGTGGCCCTTTGCCTGCCATTCCTCTCCGTCCGTTGTCCATCCCTTGTCATGATGTGTGGCTGCTAGCCTCTCGGGGCCTGGAAAGCAGGGAGGCCCCAGGTGTGCCCAGCATGGCTGGCTTGCTTGAGACCTTTCACCGGTTTAGGGTATAAATTCTCCCAAATCAAATGCATGTCGGACTTTTCACTGGGCCTCTGAACCTTAAGGTTCTGCTCCATATTGTCTGGGGGTGTCTGCAGGGGAGCTGGTCCAGGGCGGGCCTGGGGGGTAACCAGAGGAGCTTGGCTTGCAGGTGTGGTGGCTTTGGTTCCGGCCTCCTGCTCACATGCCAAGTCCCTGAGCTGCGGGCCGGGGCCCTGGGAGCCAGAGGCTCTTGAGGGGGGAGACACACAAGGAAAGCGCCAAGCCTCCATTGGGCGTGTCAAGGCTTGCCAGTCCCTGCCTAGCTGTACCTCGGCCCCCGCTGAGGCCTCCATGGAGCAGGCCCTGCCCGTGGGTAGGACGCTCTTTCCTGCCAGAGAAATGCACCAGCCCCGAGGGGGATGAGGGGAGAGGCAGGTTTGGAAGAGCAGACAGCCTGGAGGAGGTTGGTTCACAGGCACAGGAGGGCCCATTCATTCGCCACTGGACACAGCATGCCAGAAAGCAAGTGGGAAGCCCGAGTGTTCATCCCGAGTCCTCGGCTGCCAAGTTGGCCCAGGGTGCCTTCGAACCCTCTTCTTGCTGCCCCCTGCTCAGAGGCCCCCCGGTCCTCAGGGTGCCCCACCTCAGCCTGCCAGGGACCCTGATGCAGGCTCACTGGTAGCATTTTCTGTCACAAACAGGCTTGGCCAATGGTCCCAGGTGGTGGTCCCCCTCGTCCGCGGTCCCAGGCATGACCTGGTTTCTTTCTTGACCCTGCTGGGGCTCCCCCAACCTACTCAGACACCAGTAAGTGAGAGAGGCCCACAGAGCCCTCCTGGGGCAAGGACAGGACCGGCAGGGTCAAGCCCACACACGGCTGATGGAGCCACACAGGTTACGTGCGGCTTTTCCTGGGCCCCCAAACACCCCACAGCAATGCCTCCAGCCTATTCTTTCCAATAATGTAATTCTACCCACCCTAGAATATAGGATTCTATACGCATCTTCCTTGTGGGTAATATGGGAGCTAACAAAACCATTCAATTTGTCCTCTCTCTCACGTTCTCCGTGCTAGAATTTTCATAGAGTTCTCTAGAGAGCTATGTATGGAGCAGATGGATAAATACAGCTTTTTTACAAGATCGGCATCACATTGCACCCCAGTTTCTTTGTTTACAAGTTTTCATTATGTCACAAGCGGATAGTGGGCGTCCAGTGAACACGGTAGTTCCATAGAAATGAACTTCATCACTTTGAGAAGAGACCTCCGTTGGCTGCACCCCAGGCCAGTGCACCGCAGAGATAAATGCGATGTGAGAGCCCTCGGACAACAGCGGCAACCGCAGAAAGCTCTGCGCCAAGCACAGGAAACTGTCCTGAGCAGTTTTGCAAATTTTAAGTCATTAATTCCACAACAGCCTACAGGGTGAGTTCGATTCTTAGCCCCATTTTGTAGCTGACGGTGTATGTGTGAGGGACCCTGGGGGACGCCGGTCACGGGCTGCTGCCCTCAGAGATCACCTTGCCCAAGTGCCGACCTGAATATGCTGTTCCGGCTGGGGCGGCTGCCCTCTGGTCCCCTCCCGCTGCCTCCACGGACCTCGCGGGGCAAGATGCGTCTCCTGCAGCCAGCCCCGGACCCCGCCAGCCGCGCCCTGAGCGCGCAGAGGCGCTTGTCCAGTGCGCCCCCTGGTGGCAGGCCTGGTGCGGCGCATCCCCGCCTCTGTTCTTCAGCGGGAGGTCACCGCCACTGTCCAAGAGGAGGCGATGGCGAGTCGCTTCATCACTATCAGAGAATTTTAACTCTGGTTGTTCACTAAAGGGGAGGCTGGAATGTGAATGCGTTGTTGGCCATCAGTTCGTGGGCAGGACCGGGGGCTTGACCCAGACCCTGTGTGCACTGTGCATCTCCGCGCCTCCAATTTAAGGCTCAGAACTTACACCCGCAGCCCAGAGGTCACGTTCTGAGGTGCTGGCCCGCCCTGCCCTCGGACCTCATGACCCATGACCCCACGAGCTCCGTAGAACAGACAGGCAGACAGTCCTCCCTGGCACCACTATTTAGAGCATCCTGGGTACCTCCCAGGGCTGGACAATTCTTGGTTCATGTGGAAGCTCACCCCTAAATAAATCCTTCCCACAATGACCTCCACAAAATAAACGGTGAAACTCCATCAAACTGTGGCCATCCTGAGGCCCTTGGTGAGCCTGCTGTCACAGATGCCTCGGTCCCCAGCGATGTGGGGGCATGAGGGCCTGCCTTGGAGGATAGGAGCTGAGTAAGGACAGCCTGGCCATGGCGTGGGGGTCTGGGGGCCTTGGGAGGGGAGAAGCTTACCAGGGATAGAGGACCACCAGTGCAAGGAGCCGTGAGTGTCGTCTGGGAGCAGCCCAAGCCTGGGCAAAGGGAAAGGCGTTCCTCCCTGTAGCCCTCTCCTCTGTCCTGTGGCCTCCTGCCCCAGAATGCAGCCTGTCTGAGAATCCCACCCAGGTGCCCTGGGAGCAGGAGAGAGGGAGAACCCCGTGTAGAGGATGGGGGCACGAGCCCTAATTAGGGCTGGCTAGACTTCCCCAAGGTCTCCCCTCCACTTGTTTTCAAGGGGCAGGTTTTCTGGGAATACAGTGTACACAAAGCAGGAGGTTCTCAGTCTGGCAACTCCCTTTGGGTCACACCGGGCTTAACTGGGCCCAGCACCTGGCCACGGTGGGACAGTCTGTGGGAAAGCTATTTCCGGTTCTGACCAACACGACCTCTGCTGGGAGCCGGGGAGTGTGTCTTCTGGGCTGCAGGGTTAGATGGATTCCATTCTGACAAAGCAGTGAGTCCGGGAGGGCGTGGGCGATCCCATTCTACAGATGGGAAAACTAAGGTGCACAGGTTCCAAGGGTACTGGGCCTCAGTGCTCGTTCTGCCCCCACAGAGCCAGGAACCCTGGCCATGTCACCCAGTCCCCCATCTCAGTGGGGACACGGCCCAGGCAGGCTCCTCACAATGCTTTCACAGGGTTCCTTCAAACCCCCCCTGGCCCCCCCGCTGCTTCCTCTGACCCCGCAGCTCATGGATCCCTGGGGAGCCAGCCTTGTCCCTCCCTGGTGGGCATGCACTCTGCTTCTGGAATCATCCCCTGGGGGAGCTGCTCCTTCTGTTTGCTGGCTGCTTCCTGTCCCACTCATTCTGTCGGAACACCCCCTGGGCACTCTCAGGTCACTGACTTATTTGCTTTCAAACAACCTCACTGC